CTATCTTGTTAAGCCAATATATTTTTGGACTCTATTATAGTGGCTTAACCTTTATCCTCACATCCGTGTATATACGCATACATAGTTACACATCAAGTAGCATAAGTGTTTGAAACATCTCTGATCATCAGAGATGAATACCCTGAATTAGGGAGCACTTTTACAGATTGCTGAGGAAAAAGTCAAATAATCTAACCAAAAAGAGAGCAAAGGATATGAAGAGGGAATTGACTAAGACAGAAATGCAAGTGAATATGATGGGGTTCAGAGGAGGCCGTCCCAGAAAGCACCCCTTTGGCAGGCGGATTATTTCAAGCTGAAGATGATTAAGGACCGATAGACTCAAGAAAAGCTCCTTGTCTCTCCCTTAACTGCCTAAAATAACTTAGATAGGGAGCCTGTCCCAGAAAGAGAGCTATTATCAAACATACATATCATTTTTTACATACGAAAGATTTCATGTGGCGAGACAAACATTTCTCTACCAAACATTTGTTCCCATCCTTCAGGGAATTGTCTTCCTCTCCTTTGGAGTCTCAGACCCCTCCCCACTTCTCAGCTCAGGACTGCGTGTAAGCCTCAACTGCCTGACTGGTGGGGAGCCTCTCAGGTCTTTGTGAAGCTCCTATACATATGTAATTAAAGTTGCTTTTCTCCTGTTACTCTGTCTTATGTCTATTTAATTATTAGGCCAGCCAAAGAACCAGGACAAAGGGAAAAGTTTTATTCTCCTACAAATACAAATGAAGACAACTGAATACAAATGAATCAAACTGAATAAAGTTTATTTTAATGTCCAGCTGCGTAACAATGAAATGAAATGAAATGAAATATGGGGATACAAGTCCTCTCTTAATAAACGGGTGAGAAAAAATTTGTTTTACTGAATATGCAGTATTTGAGAGTGCGTAAGTGAACAAATTCTCTAACATCACTAAATGTAAAATATTAAAACTTGTTGAAGAAATATTTGACAGTGTGTATTAAAACATAAAGAAATGTACATATATTTTGGTCAAGCAATTGCATTTTTTGTTAAGACTAGTCTAAGATAATCATAAATATGCCCAGTGTTATATAACTGCATCATTTGATAGATTTAAGAAGCAACTTATATTTCTAACCACAGATAATAAATTAAGGTATAGTATTAATATGAATACAATATTTGAGAATATTAAACAACATGGAAACATTCTTGATATACTAAATGAATAAAACGTATACACCCCAGAATCATAGCTTTATTAAAGAAAGCATGTACACATGCCCCAAAATGACAGCAAAAGCAGTTATCACTGGGTGACCAGACAAGAAATCATTTTACTTCGTCTATTTTTCTGTATTATCCACTGTTTTCATTATAATCTGAATTATTTTTAATATCTAAAATTGAAATATAACTCAGTTACAGATAAAATGCAAATTAAAACTGGAAAATATTTGCAACTACTTGATTAATTTGTTCAATAAATATTATTGTGTATCCATTATGTGCCAAACACTCTTTTAGACAATGGAGATACAGGGATAAGATAAAATCTCTGCCCTTCTAGAATTTACCCTCTGGTAGGGCATATGTACAGTACACAGGTGAATATATGAGTTCTGAAGATAATTACAGATAATGAGAATTGCTTTGAAGAAATAAACAAGGCTCAGGTGAGTTTTGGGTTGACTCCTGAAGTATGAGAGAGCCAGGGTGTGGAGGGCAACGGGGACAACACTTCTGGCAGGAAGAAAGCAGGTGCAGAAGCAGCAAAGAACTTGGCAAAGATAGAGGAAGATATAGGCAGGCAGTGTGAATGAAAAGCGTGGGGCTCGAGGTGAGGTTAAGAAGTGGACAGGGGCAGAAAAAGTAAAGGTGTGAAAGTCTTAGTAAAGAGTTTGCTTTTTTCCAAAATTAAAAAAAAACTATTAATGGCTTTTAAGCCAAGAAATGACATTATTTTTAATGTTTTTAAAAAAGATCATTCTGCCTGTTATTGAGGACTAATGAAAAAGTACATAGTAATAAATAAAAAGCAAAAACAATAACAAAAAATACAATGAGAAAATGGCCAAAGAATGAGAAGAGGAATAAATGTAAATTAGTAAGGAACATAGAACAATGTTCAGCTATACTAGTAATCAAAACCACAAGTTTCAGTGACTTTCTATAGTTAAAGCAGCAAAGTTGAAGAAAGAAAGTTAATATCTAAAGATACTGTGAGGTAGGCAATAACAAAGACATTCTTAATTAATCACTCGGAAAAGACACGTGTACAGGGTGCTGATTAAGAGATGTTTAGAATAAGTGTCTTCACTATTTTTTTCCTTAAAGTGGAATTACATGCAATTTTTGTACCATTCTCTATTTCTTGAAAACTCAACAAGTAACAGGTGTTATTTTTATGATACTTGTTCTTATATTTTATAATATGTACATTTTATAATAAAGAAATGGTTACTGAAGAAGTCCAAAATAAGTTCATCACAACACGTAGACTGTGTGATGTAGAAGAAATAATAGTTTGCAAAAGTATTGGAAATACGTAACACTTACATATTCAAATATCACATAGCCTAATTTAATTGAAAATGCAGCAAGTATTTTCCCGAAGGCCTATGATATTGAAAAACAAACCATTTTATTTACTTTTTTCCAGACAGAGCACCTAGCATTCTTAGAATAACTGCCGTACAAAGCCATAGGAAGCAACAGTATTTCGCTATATAACACAAAGCAGAGTTAAAAATCATCACACCAGCCCTCGTTACATCTCGTTGCTATTGGTAAGTTCTTCTAATTCTTCTGTCATTAATTCCTGTATGGGTTTTTCAGCACTTTTGCTACAAAGCACAATTTCCTCTTGTGGGCTTTTAATTGTGAGTTCCGGAGCCGACAGATGAGATGTGGTTATGACCATGTTGTTTTTAGCTCTCAGGGTGTAGGCTTCCTTGGACTTTGCTCTTTTTCTGCAGAGCCGGAGGCAAAAAGCATCTTGGAAACCACGGCGAAAATTCTCATTGAAGAAACCATAAATGATGGGGTTGACGCTGCTGTTGCAAAAGGCCAGCCAGTGTGCAAAGGGGTAGATGTAGATGTTGATGAGCCTCAGTTCATCTGGAGACAGGTCAGCATAGTCTGAGAGCATCATCAGAGTCCACAGGGGCAGCCAGGAGAGGATGAAAAGCAGGGCCACAGTCAGGAGCATCTTAATGACCTTCTGCTTCTTCTTGGACACCATGTGCCACTGCTCCTGGTTCTGTGTGCCTCTGTGAGGCACCGTCGTCTTGAAGAGTGCAATTCCAATCCTTCCATACATAATGACGATGAGGAACATGGGAGCCAGGTAGATGTTGGCAAACAGCACAGTGGTGTAGGTCTTCCTCATTTCCTGGTTTGGCCAGTCTTCACGGCACCAGTAGACTGGGCCTGTTTTATTCTGGGAGTTGAGTGTCACTCGGTAATATTTTTCTTCTTTCACATGTAACATTATTGCAGATGGGGCTATAATGGCGATGGCCAGGACCCAGATGATCATAATAATGACAAATGATGTCTTGATACTGAGCTTTGGCTTAAAAGGATAAACGACACACCGGAACCTGTAATTAAAGGCAAATATCAGACAAGGATTGCCTCATAACTTCTTATCGAGTCATGAATTAAATTTATTTAAGTAAATAATACCATATGATATCACTTATATGTGGAATCTAAAAAAGAAAAAAGACACAAATGAACTTACTTACAAAACAGAAATAGACTCACAGAACAAACATAGTTACCAGGGGAGGAAAGGGGGTGGGAAGGAATAAACTGGGAGTTTGAGATTTGCAGATACTAACTACTATATATAAAATAGATAAACCACAAGTTTCTACTGTACAGCACAGGGAACTATATTCAATATCTTGTAGTAACCAATAACAAAAGAGATATGAAAATGAATATATGCATGTATATGTATGACTGAAACATTATGTTGTACACCAGAAATTGATATAACATTATAATCTGACTATACTTCAATTAAAAAAAAAACAGAAATTACCATTAGCTAGAGAGACATGCACCACCATTTTGTGTAATTGATATATGAGATAAATTTCAACTCAAAATATGAATAAGTTGAGTATATCTGACACTATTAATAATGAAAGTACTAGTGGTAACTAGTCTGTAACAAAATGAGCATTTAATAGTCTATTCCCGGGTCCTTTCCATTGGTTTGCATAGGTAGTCTCTTTAAGCGTTCCTACTTAAAAGATGGGGAAACAGGCTCTAAAAAAGTAAAAAGTCTTGCTCTTAATCACACATGATTTTTACATAGGTATTTTTGACTCCAGAGCCCATATTCTTAAACCCTCTTTCACGCCCTTCTGTGGCCCCTCATATATGATCTGTCTGCTTGGCTGTGCAACTTGCTTTGGCCAAGTGAACATTAGCAAGCGTGGCGTGAGAAGAAGCATGAGTGATGTCAGCTGCAAGACACAGAGCAGAAGCACCCACCACACAGAGGCACCCAGGCAATCCACAGAGTTGTGGGAAATATTAAAGCATTATTGTTTGAAGCCACTAAGTGTTCTCACGGTTGGTTTCACAGCTGTAAGAGTCTGAAAGTTTCCGTATGAGTTCTGTTTATGCACATTCCCAGTGTTCTATGTCCTCTGGTGAGCATGAAGCTTCAACATCGCTATGTAGAGGGAGCCTGATTCATTTTACTGCTGTTTTGTTACTGTGATTCTTGATGTAATTACTGATACTCATTATGTTCATTATAAGATAATCAACTGTACTGTTAGACAACTGTATAACATTTTATATTTTTCAAAGTACTATCACTTACTGAATCTTCTTTGATTTTTGTGATAACTCTATAAAACTGAAGTGTTATGAAAATTATTACTGTCCAGATCCGCAGTTAAGGAAACTTAGAGCTTTTAAGTGGCCCAGCAGCAACTCCAAATTAATCTATCTAATACCTTTATACAATGACTAGTTAACTTGAGCTTTGACTGCTCTGTTGTCTTTATAGCTCCTTCAATGCATGTGTAAGACCTTCTCTCTTAACCTTCAAATTTTCATCTAGTCTTCTAATTAGGGAATTCTCCCATTTGCTCACCCTTAAATTATGGGTAGTTCATAGGTGCAATTCTAGATATTTTGCTCTTTTTGTAACCATTGAAACTTCAAATACTATTTTTTCATTTATCCATTCAACAAATAGTCTAATCTTGTTATAGTAGCCTGAACTAAAGCATGCAACATCCCTAATCATTCAATGTTAAAATATGGAAATCTGAGTAGTTTCATTTTCTTATCACTGAGCCTTTAGTACTTCATGCCTTGCTCTTAAAGGGGTATATATTGAGCAGATATACCCAAATTTAGTAGATTATACATTTTTCACTGGTTAGGTGGATTAGTTGCATGCATACCCAATTTTCTGGATTTAGAGTTTGGTGCTGACCTACCTGTCCACTGCTATTGCAACTAAAGTGAAGACTGAAGCTGCAACGGACATTCCCTGGACCAAGCCACTGATCTTACACATTGTGCTTCCAAATGGCCATCCTGAAAGGGAAATGGAACAGTTAGTCTTTGAAAAGATCATATATAAGAAATTATATATATATATATAAAATTTTATATATATTTTATATATATATATATATATAAAATTTTCCTGAAATTATAAGGAGAAAGACATGAAATCAGATTGATGCAACTGTTTCCAAAATGATACCTGGGGAACAATCAATGCATCCCATTATTTTTATTAAGACATTCAGAGCTCTGTTTTTCAGGATACTAATAATAATGTCAAAACTTATATGACTTAGTAACTTTTGGTAACAGCACTGTATACTCTGCAATAAATGCTTTGCATCTGTTAACATATCTAATCCCCACAATAGGCTTTTGAAGGCTTTATTCTTCTCCTGATGATGTAAAATAGGTAACAAACACACAAATTTAAACCCTAGCAGTATAATTTCAGAGTCCAAACCATTAACCCTTATGCAATAGTGTCCTTTAAATGAATAAAACAGGAAGAACACTGGTTCTCAAATTTGCAGATGTATTCTATAACTTAAGAGGAATCAGGAGTTACATGTAGAATAAAGTTAATATTTAGTTATATATAACGTAATGAAACAATTTACCTCAGAGATACTTTGTTAGGGAGTGAGTTTGTGTTCCCTTCCAAATTGCGATATTGAAGAGTTAACCCCCAGTGTGATGGTATTTGGAGGTGGGGCCTTTGGGAAATGGTTAGGTTTAGATGAGGCCATGAGGGTGTTGCCCACATGATAGGATTAGTGCCCTTATAAGAAGAGGAAGAGAGAGAACTCTGTCCATATGCATGCACTGAGGAAAGGCCATGTGAGGACACAGCAATCTACAAATCAGAAAAAGGACCCTCACCAAGAACCCAGCCATGCTGGCACCTTCTTCTTGGACTCCTCGCCTCCAGAACTGTGAAAATAAATGTCTGTTGTTCAAGCCACTCAGTATATGGCATTCTGTCATAGCAGCCTGAGCTAAGACGTTCTTTGAGAATAAAGAGCACTTTGCATGAACAAAAGTAGTCTGTTTGAATTACTTCCTAACTGAACTTCAGTTCCTAGAAGGTTTATAAAAGAAATTGGTAAAATTATCATATTTGATATCAATGAAATCAAATTTAGTTTGATATTCTACATACCCCTCTGCTATTACAGGAAAGTAACTCTATTGTTCTTCCACTAGCAAATATTCTAGTTTCCTGAAAGATGAATGGTACATTTTTCTCAAATTTTTAAAATTTATCTTTTTAAAATATTTACAATTTGTCATTAAAATATTCTTATCTAATTAAAAAAAATTCCAATAGACTAAATAATCCAGGAACAATTAAAAAAAAATCTGTCATCTATCCAGACCACCTTAAAATAGGTGCTTGAATGGTTCCACTGAATAGAAATGAAAAGGAAACATGTCTTCCTAGTCCTAAAATTTGTTTGCTTGTTATAGTATTTACTGTTCAACAAAAATGCAAAAAAGTGCATATAGCCACCCTCACCAAACTCGACTGACATGATAGCACTAGGACAAAAAGAACATAAATCCCTAGAAAGGAGGTGCCAGACACTAGTGAATGTAAATTTGGGAAAATAACACAATTGGCTGAATTATGTATAAATGCAATTGGATGCCTCTGGCTTTTCCCCAGGCCAGTGGAAGAAAGGAGGTTACTCTCTGAGGAGGTCAAAGCTCAGGGAATCTAGACGCTGAGTCACCACCTACAGGCAGAGTGGGCGTCACAATGATGAGAAGGATGAAGTGAAAATACATGTACACTCGTCACAGGATATTGCTGGTTCAGAGACCAGCTGAGCTCCAGGATGTAGCAGCCAGCCTCATGTCCCGATGGCAGGAGATGAGAGAATTTCCTTCTGGGGAAAGTGATCCTTCCAAGAATACTGACGAATTTTGACTGGCAGATCTTTTCAGTTGTGGATTTCCCAACGAATCACCCAGACTAACGAAGCTGAGCTGGGCTTTAACCTCAAACCCCAGACAGGCTGAATTTCATGGCAGCCATACAGGGCCTAACTCTGAAACACACGCATCTAAGTCGTAGCTGACGTTTGGGAAATCGCAAACATAAAAGAAGGAGACTAAAGCAAATAGGGAGAACAAAACAGGAGAAAGCCAGCTAGACAAAAAAATTAAAAACAGAAAAATTATTACTAATAACCTCAGGGATATAACACATTTTATCCATGAAAATTATGTGCATGGTGGTATAAGGAGGTGGTATAAGAAAAGAAAAATAGCTCAGAGAATCTAAAACAGGAAAACAGAAATGGCTGCTGACTTTATGTCAACATAAAGTTTGGAAGAGAAAGTTGAGATCTTTGAAAGTAGAATAATGAGAAACAGAAAATGGAAGAAAAAATATTTTCAACAGAGAGCAACCCAGCAGCTCCAATATCTGATTAATACGAAGAAAGGAAAATGAAAAGGAACCCTAGGAGAAAGTTCCCCAGGATTAAAGGACATTCTTTTCTTTTTTTTCACTGAAAGGACCTAGTTTATGTCCAGCACAATAAATGGAAAATAGAAAGACTTACATCAGGGCATAACGGCCTAAAATTCAGAACACCAGGGGTAAAGAGAAGCTCTGAAAGCCCTCAGGAAGAAGAGCAAAGTACCGGTCAGAAGTAAAAGAAGCAAGGGTCAGGCCGCATCAGATTTTCCAGCAGTGACACCAGGTTTCCCAGCAGCAGCAACAGAGCAATCTCTTCAAATATTTTGAGGGGGAAAAATGTTCAGCCTAGAATACTTTACACAGCTAACTATAATGAAGTGTGAGGGCAGAATAAAGATATTTTCAGATACAATATCTCAAACATTTTTATCTCAATGCATCCTTTTTCAGGAAGCTAGTAGATGAATAAACCAATAAAAAAAAGAGATGGTGTCCAGAACACAGAGGATTGAGCATAAACAGAGAGTAAGACAATTATTAGAGGCTCAGTGAAGAAAGCTCCCAGAGTGATAGCTGAACTCCATACCCAGAAAGCAGTGTCTCTGGATAGGAACAAGAGGATAGAGAGCCCCTGGAAGGGTATGTCCAGGAAAAAAAGATGCTATTTACCCTTTTTTGGTGTGTTTTTGATATGTTCAAAGGTATTGACAAGAAATTTAACACTCCTGGAAGATAATTCTGAGGATACATTACTGATAGCTATACTCAAAAAAAAAAAAAAAACCCTAAGCAAACACTAGGAAAACAAAAAATCATTTTATGAGAAAAACTGCTATCATCACAAAACACAAAAACCCAGGATCTATTTAGTACACGATGACAGAATAGGCAATCTAAACTCCCTGGTTCTCACTTCAGTGAAAGGAAAGAAACAGAAGCAAATTCTAGAAGGAAACCACTTATTCTCCAGTAAACTGATGTTGAATGCCATGAGAGGATGAGAACTGTCATATGGTTCAAGCTGATCTAAATATCTTCAACATGCCGCTCTGGTTTCATTTTTTTCCTATACAAAGTTGGAATATGAATGTCTTGAGAGCTGTTCATTAGTTAATACAGCAAATATTTACTAAGCAAGCACTACACACCAAAACTGTACTGGGAACTACACTCTTCCTCACTCCCAGAGTATGTGATGTGGTGCAAAACAAGTAGTAATCCAGGCCCAGAAGCACTCCAGGGTAGCACCCTCACCATTACTTATGTTGCACATGTGAATTACCACTACACAAGGAAGCCACCTTTGTGAGAAATCATCGATATCGCTACTCCATCTTCTGTCGAAAATCTGTTGGCAATCTCCCCAGCTAACCACGAGAGGGACTAAACACCTATTCCCGTTAGACTGAAGACATTTCATTAATTGAAAACACCGGTAAGCCACTGGAAACCACTTACCAGTTCTTTGAACTTTATAGTTGATAATATATTTTTAATGGAAGTACTCGGGATTGAATCCAGGCTCTTGTGTATGCTTAGCACTGAGCTAAACCCTCACCCAACAGGCCGTAATATTCTGAGCTAAACCCTCACCCAACAGGCCGTAATATTCTCAGTAATATTTCTACCATATTATACATGCCCTGAACCGTTAAGCAAGTTCAAAGTCTTTAGTAAGAAGTGTTAAATCTCATTCGCTGATGACCTTCAGTAAACACTCTATAAAAATAATAGCTTCACACTTCACCTCTGTTATTTGCTTTATTTTTCTCCACAATTCTTATTATTCTCTGATGACTTACATAGCTATTTGTTTTTGTTGTTAGCCTCCTTTAAAACGTAGACACCTTCAGGATAACTACTCGGAGCTGTTCTCAGAACTCCGTGGATATTTGTGAATGAATAAATGATCCTGTCTTGGCTACGGGAATATGGGACAATCATTTTCTCATGTCATCTTTGAGCTGCACACAGATCAACATACCTGCTATGATATTGTCCAGCAGCGTGGTAGGCATACAGAATATGCCAACTAGTAGATCACTTACGGCCAGGTTCAAGATGAAGAGATTAGTGACAGTGTGCATATGTTTGTTCCTCATTACAATAAAGCAAACCACTGTGTTTCCCGCCATGCACAGGAAGAAGATTAGAAAGTAGGAAATAATGAAGACTGCAGCCACTTGAGGCTGGTGGAGATAGTAGCTCACGTAGGTGATGTTGCCGTCTGCGTACAGATCATGCTTTGTGGCATTGACACTCCAGATGTGGTGCCAGGTTTCTGAAGAGTTTGAGTCCCATTTCTCATTCATGATGGACCTGAACAAAGAAGAGGCAGAAAAGAAAAAGCATGATTAAAAAGCAGGGGAACATAAGTTTAAAAGCATTTAAGAGAGATACTTTTACAATGCTATGGAATTTTGAAGGGTCTTTTATAATAATCCGTAAGTTTTGCGTGGAACTGAGTTATAAATAAGGCATTCAAATTATTAGGCTTTTAACCAAGAGCATTTGAAAATCCCACTTTGTGCCATGAGGAACACTTATTATTATATTTTATTTCCTTGATATACCCTGTATTATCTCCCTCTTTATCATACCTTCCATCTGCTTGCAAGTTTCAAGGGAAACCTTCCAAAACTCCTCTTCCTCTTGCCTCCAGATATCATAATCTGTCAAAACCTACTTGTTCTTTTCATGCTAAATAAGATGCCTTGAGCTTTCCTAATATTTGAATGAAGTGTTTGCAACTTCAAAACTCTCATTGAAATAAGCTTCTTGGATTTTCCTTATTCTCTTTGACTCAGTAAATTGAATATTCTCTTCTGTATGTTGACAGAGTCACAAAATAGAATTTCTTAAACTAGGTCTAGGTTACTTACCTTGGTTTCATTTAGCATAATTCCATTCACATAGTATATATTCAATAAATACTTATTTGGAATCTATAAATCTTAAATAAAGACATTTCAATCAACTGTTGTGTGTCAGAAGTCCCCATGAACACTCCCAGGTTTGGAGATTTACTAGAAGGACTCAGAGTATGGTGCCTTCACAGCTAATATTTATGACAGTGAAGGGATACAAAGCAAAATCAGAAATAAAAAGGCACACAGGGTAAAATCTGTAGGACAGCAGGGACACGCTTCCCGGAGCTGCCTCTCAGGGGAGTCACACAGGATACGCTTAGTTCCTCCAGCAATGAGTTTGACAACACGTGGGAAGTGCTGTCTACCAGGGAAGCTCCTTAGAAACTCAATTCCCCAGATTTTTAATTAAATCGTGGTCATGTGGGCAACTTCTTTCGAGATATGTCAACATTCCAGACTCCTGGATGGAAAGTTGGTGTGCAGGATGAACTATGTTGTTTGCATGAACAACTTATACCTAGTGAGCCATGCATCATTTAAGGAAACTTTATATCGGTATAGGGAACTGTCTGGAATTTAAGTTCCCAAACTCCAACTCAGGGCCAATAGCAAAAGCAGGCCTTTTTAAAGGCAGCAGTCTCAAGTCTGCTTGTTAACTCTTTTCTGCATGTCTTGTAAAGTTGACAGGTTATACGTGCCCTGAAATGAAAATGAATTTAACAGTGGACTTATGCAATTGAACTCTCATATTCACTTTTTTGGAGTAGTTTCATGGACTGTGAATTGTTGAGGATAGATTGAAATGAGTCTCAGCAAGTAGATAGTCAGATCCCAATTTGCAAGGTCATATAGTGACCTCATTATCACTTTGCATTTTCCAGTCTTTTACCAAGTACACATTTATATTGTATTAGGGGAGCATGTTGATCTTTTGTCAATACTGCATAAGGATTAAGATATGTACATTCACTTCTGCTACTGAACTTTGGATAGTTTTCTCTTTGTATTTTAGGTACAGGGAAGAATAAACAAGATTAAGTTATGAATATGAAATAAGTCAGTTAAAGGGGATCATTTTTCTTCCCAACAGCTCCCATTATTTTGCCATTTAATTTTTTCCCTTTCCTCAAATTTTTAAAATTCACTTTTGCTTTTCTGTGTTTCGTATTCCTAAGTCCAAATAAATACAAAAAATGAAAAGCAAAGTGAGTGTGGGATGGGGTGAGAGCTTGGAGAAGAGGAAGAAAACAGGAATTCGTGTAGAATCAGAAGCAGGCTGTTACACAAAGTCAAGTTGAGAATATCCTTGGGGTCCAGAAACTGATATTGAGAATACCTATCAGCTTGATAAAAATCATTTCAATAAAAGTCTTCAAAGAAAAGCATTCATACAAATTTGTGAAGATATTTATACCTAAGGCAAGGAAACACTATAAATACAAATGAGAAAGGCATGAGGAAAAATGTAGGTAGCTAAGAGTTACTAATAAAAGACATCTGTCCATGGATTCAATTAGAGCTGACAAACATATGGGTAGAATATATTATAAGACATAAGACATTTTTTTTCTTATATCCTGGCTGAAAGCAACCCCATATTTCCAAAGCAGATATCCATCCATGGTGTCTGTTGAGATAAAAGTGTTAGGAAATTTGAGAATGAACAGGATTCAAAACCTTCCTGTGTATTAACTTAAACTCCACGTTATTTGAGACAGAAGTGCCTCCTTTCCTCTTCTTCCAATAGATTTTTGATAAACTAAAATCATATTTTGTCTTGGGGCCAGCCTGGATTTCACTATCCCTACTATTGGCTTGATAACTATATTTGGCAAGACAGCATGCAAAATGCAATACAGAGAGGTAAGCAAAGAATCTGTCATATTCTAACCATTAATTCCTGCTGATGAGCAGTTGTAAAATTTTCGTACATGAGATAATAGCCATTAGGTTGACTTATAATAATATGAATTTAGAAACTACATCATCCCCTGTAGTATTACTGTCATGAGGCAGAGAAAAGCCAGGTCCCGACTGATCCTAGGGGGAGACCCCCCTTATCTCAATGTCATACATCAGAGACAACTGCTCTTTGGTGTTCATGCATCTAGCATCTTTCTTACCGGGCACTTAAAAGTTCTGTAAGTTAATTAAGAAGCTTTAAATGAAATCTACCCCTGATTGAATACCTTTAAGACCAGAATTATTTTAAGTGTACTCTGTGAATCATATTCACTCTTAGATGAAACAGTATAAGAAATAAGAAAACTGGGTATACCAGTTTCAGGAAGGCAAATTTACACACTGCCATCTATGGATGATTCAATAGTCTTGGAATATTTCATTGAAAATGTGTGATGTCTTTTCAATAACAGAAAGTCTGAACTTTACAAGTTAGTATTTTACATGTTAAGTAAATAAATTGTAAACATAAGCCATTTTAGCACTAATTTGTCTTATACTCTTTATTTCTACATGGAAAAACTGCGATGAATAAAATGCTTGGTACGAGCCTCCTCTACCATTTCTTCATCTTTGATTCTGGAGAGAAAACAGACATAACAGGCTAAACTTTGTGAGCGCCATTTAGGGCCCCAAATTACCCCAACTTCCTCAGACTCTTGTTCTTTCTGTAGGAAAGGAGCGTATGTCTTCAGCAAGAGAAGTCAAGGGATGAGGTTATTTACAATTCTTTCTTCCTGGAATTGTGTTTGCGAAAACACTAACCGTGGATTACTCTGGGAGAAGAAAGAGTTGAACATCATCATAGTTTTTTTGCTTATTTATATTTCTCAACTTTTTTCCTGTTTCCAGATTTTTTTACAATCTGGAAAAAAATGTCTTCGTATTATCGTCTGAATTCAACTATAGAGCATAAAACCAGATGACATAGCTTAAGTTCTTCTTATAAATTTGCAATCATAAGTTAAATACTGAGCAGTAAAGGTATTATTTTACCCAAAATAGTTCTGTCTTCCAAATTTCAATTAGGAAAGAATTCAGAAAGACTCTAATCTGCTAGGTTTAGATACACTGTTTCACACATATCACATGAAGAATCTGAAAGAAGAGTCTATGTTCTTTACCCTTGGATCAAACACCCATTGAAGGGATGAAGCTGGCAATAAATTGTCACCAAGCATTGGCTACTGGACTGCTAGACACACCACAGTCAGCTACGGCCAGCAGCCTCCATGTTTGGCATCCTTCTCTCTTTGGGCTTTCCCTGTTGCCTCTATCATTATTGTTAATATTAATTTTACTGTGTTCTTCATGTTTTATTTCTAGGTATTTATACAAGGACTTAAGGACAGGAAGATGGTGGTATTTACTTCTACCTATGTTGGACTAAACTCTGATGATTACCATTAAAAGGTATTACAGTTATTTAGTAGTTAGTAATCCAGTTATTTAGTGACTAGTAAGCAGTTATGACAACTTAGATTGCTAAAATAATTGAAGAGGAGAGAGACAGAAAAGAGCAAGAACAGAAATGCTGTAAACACACATGCTCAAATTAGGGGTGAAGCGTTGGCAGTAACTATGAGACATACAGTAAAAATGCCTAATATTTAAATTTTCAGAGCATTTTCAAATATATCATCCTCAGATACCAACATCATGGAAATATAGATGTCCTTCGTTTTTCTACCACCTTCTAACAACTAAAATCAGCAGTCATTCAATGGCAAAAGTGCCTCTGAAGGAGCTGGGGGATCCGGCACTGAGGCCAAGGGACCCAGGAGGAGTCTCACCCACCTGTGCATTGGTTACTAGGCAGACAGACCTCACGGGGGCTGTGAAACCAACAGGAGCCCATGAAATGGTCCCAACCCCTCATAGCCACAGTCTGGGAACACCTGCAGAGTGCTGAATTGGGAAAACACCCACAGAAGAGACAACATTTGTAAAAGTCCAGGTTGAGGAGAGATTCCAGCACTCTGATGGATCAAAAAGATTTTGGAAGCATCAGAGAGGGTAAGAGGAACCTTGCCAGCACCACCTCTTCAGATCTGGTGCTGATTAATGGCCAGTATTGGGAAAGAATCCTTGAACTTTTCTCTGGAGAAAGAAGATTGGGTTCCCATTAATCTGTATTGTAAGCAAAAGAAAAGACACATTGCCTGGAGTGATACTGTAAGTTTTACTAATGTATTGTGTGCCAAACAATACATAAATCTCTGTCACAGCTAAATGGTGTAATAGAGGGTTTGTAATTTGATTGAAATAATTAAATGAAAATCAGACAATGCAAATGATGCTCCTTGAGATAGAGAAATGTTTTAAGAAGCTGAGCTGAAGCCTCTAACTGATACAAAACCTGTGAAAATGGATTATCTAGAGGAGGACGTGAATTTGACTTTAGAAACATTGCACATTCAATTAACTGTCTCCATCAAATCGTGTAAGTTTCAAATAACTGCACAATTGACCGTAACAGTAATTGAG